AGAGTGCCATCAACTGCTCTATCTTGAAGCCATACATGTTTATTTCTCCTTCGTGTTGTATAAGGAGTTCGCATATGGCTTGCATTGTGGAGTCATTCGACACGTTTGTATAAAGGGCGGTAACGTCGAAGGAATCCATCACGTACGCTCTGTTGGGCTGCGCAGTACGTAAACGATCCAGAAACATCTGGGTATTCGTAAGATGGGCTGGAATGTGTTCCAACAACTGGTTAAATATTAGAGTTAAAAACCATGTTATCCTATCCGTTGGTCCCTCTATCCAGCTAATGATAGGTCTAACCTTAAACAATGATGGATCGGTAGACACGAGGTCATCGTTGGATACTAACCTATGAGTTTTTATAAATAAGTACAAGACGAGACATATTGGTAAGTCAACTTTCAGTTGAGAGATAACTGATAATTTTAACGCAGTCGCTCTTGCCATTTTAACCAATTCGTTGTTTAACTTTCGGTATTGGCTTTTAAATTCCTTCCCATACGACGGACGTTAAAGGAAAGCACCTTCAAGGTGCTTTTCCGTTATCTCGGCATCTAACTGATAGGGAATTACAACGAACTCTCCACCCTTTTCACTAGCCGATAGTCTTATGTTTTTTAACCTTATCAGCATCCGTATCTCTCGCATACTACATTTTTGTTCTTCAGTGACGTTGGAGTTGTACCTTCTATGAAAGTTTCATTCGTAGACGTCTGAAATTTAACATCAACTTCATTATTAGGCTCTTGTTGTCTAAAGAACGTCGGCGGAAATGGTGCTATTTGTAGGGCCCCACTTGGTGTTGTTCGCGCCTATTTAGCGCTTCAACTCTAGCTTTTTGGCGGAGTTTGTTTTGAAGTTTATGTAAACTACATGCGACCCTACGCAAGGTTATCTTAGAAATGGGTTCAGATGATGAGAAACTCGGTCCCAATTCTAATAACGAGCGTGCACCTTCAGGGAGAGTCATGCCTCCCAACACGGTTAACCCTGAATTTTCTTGCACATTATTTATCCTACTGTGACTCGTTTGATCTTCGTTAGCGGTGTTTCTGTATGCTCTTGAAGCCGTGTTATGCGTTTTACTCAAAAGGTGTTCGGATTTTCTCCGCAAAGTTACTTTAGCATTAGATCTAATAGAGTTACAAATCAACACTGACCCACCCACTATTCTCCTCCAGAGGCGGTCATCCAAATACTGGACACAATAGTTTTCCTCCTTCTCGCACTTCTTCCACTTGGCGAACATCTGGTTTTGTCGGTTTCGTAGACAGGTGCGTAGTATTCGCAAATTCGATGTCCAGTACTCGGTGACTGTCCTCTGGTAGTCCCCATACATCGTGAAATCGCTTTTGTTTGATGAAGTTCGGGACGACTCGGTGTTTTAGACAGCGGCGGAGAAAGTGTGCTGTCGAGCTAAGACGATCTTTTGTCTTTGTGATAGCGTTTCTTTTACAAGTTGGAAATATCGTGCTTGTACGCCTCGTAATAAATCCCACGACCGACTTTCTATTAACCTCGGCATTGATCAAGTAATTCTTCGTATTCTTGTTGAGCAAACGCGAGGTGTTATTTTATTCTTTATTCACGTACAAGATGACGTTTCGGCGGATTTTGCCTTCCTCAGAGTCTGGAAATGTCAAGCTGACAGCAATCTATTCGGCTAAACACCTCCATAACCAAACAGAGAAAACGCTAAACCAAGATTTCAACCACATTGTACACAGAATAGCTTCTTTGCACACTCATCGCTCTCTATGAGTCTTATACTGAGTATGCCGCGTGGAGACCAACCGGACAGAACCCACATGGAACCGTGATGTGTCCCTCCCATCAGAAGAACAGGTTTGTATACTGTCCAATATCACGCGTGATAATGAGGCGTGCTTCCCTGCAGTTCATTTTAGGATTTCTGGAATTAATCCAGAGCGCCTCGAGAGTTTTGCGCATTTGTGTTCTCGATTCCTGTGCGAGGATCAAGACACGTTCCTAAAAGTTCCGACCACCTAAAACACTTTAGAAGCCGATGAGCTATCATTAGCTGCCGAAAACTAGCTTCGTCATGAACGCATTGGTGAATGTGTTTAGGTAAAATTCTATTCGAAGAAGTTCGACCAAAGTCTGGTAGGAACTAAAGTTGATCAAGTTCCATTTAATAATCGAGGCATGATGGTCAGCTGTCAATTTTCTTTTAGTAAGCTTCCAAAAGAAAAATCTTCTACCATTTTACCGCTAAGGAGATCAATCCTGTTGTATATCTAGTCCGAAGAAACACTATCCAAACTATATAAAGCTTCTTTGGAATGACCATCTACTGTGGATCATCGACTACGATCATCGGATCCGAGAAAGACGAAGACGCCGAAAGGTTAGCTGATTAAACTTTCCTATAAACCTCATGTTAGGTTAATAATCCCAGAAGATATTGATTATTAATGCCGAGGTTGAATGACGGTCGGTTTGAAAGATCAGTTTCTATGGCATATTTTTTATCTATATTGTGTTTGACAGACTCGGATACTAACCTTGCTGTGGCGTTTCGGAGGCGTCCTGCAATACACACTTGGTATCGATCCCCGCGTCCATGGTCCACCAAGCGTTCTATCTCTCCGGGGTCGGCAAATTGGTAGCAGACTTGTCTGGGAAGGTAGCAGCACTGGCTCGATACATCGGTAGGCCACCGCAAGTCACTGCAAACGCCAGATACGCATCCAGTAACCTCCATCGGTGCTTAGTGAAGTCGAATGCATGGCGCAACCCTAAGGGATTGATCAACGCAGGGAGCTTTATCCTTCTATCCTTTATCGTCTTCGACAATTCATCAAAGCAATATCTTTACTCGATATCACTCGTATTGAATAGTGGTAATTAGAGTAGATTTAGGTCAATTACAATTTATTCATAGAGTTGATTTTGAATTCTCACAAACGCTTCAGGGCAATGCTTGTTCAGTTGGGGACAAAGTCCAAATTATTGATTGATCACTTGGCGCGCCCTTCGTGTTTCATGCCAACTGCTCTTTCATCATTCTTCAACAGATTTTCGTCTAAAAAAAGAAGTCAAAAATCCCAAAATTGAACACTTTTTGTGACTGTCCAATGTTTTCTTTGGAGAAAAACTTCGCTAAAAACTCTTGTAGCGATGAAAAAGTTACTGTTACAATTGTTATTGATCGATTGCTTGTTGTTATAGCAGAGAACGTCAAATATTTGATCACCTCTATTTGACATTTCATGGTGGTCTGTGTGTGTGTCGTGGAAACCACTTAAAGTGAACTAGATGACTTTGGCTCGATATGGTCTGCTAATTTTGCCGTCATCGTCATCGTCGTCTTCTTCCTCTCTTTCATCTTCATCTTCATCGTCGCTATCATCCTCATTATAACTATCTTTTCATTTCCTGTCAAGCTACTTGTTGTTTCATCTAAGGAATAACCAATGTATCATTCTAGAAAAATAGCTACCTTATCATATTATAGCAAATGTTTTCTGATTGATAACTACAGTATGCATTGATGAGCAGTAGTTGACATCTAGCGTTAAACAAATTACTTATAACCGAGAAGATCAACTTTCTATAAACCTCGGCATAATAATCGTTGTATATGCATAATTGCTCCTATTAACTGCCCTTTTTAAGCCGACTCAAGGTTGGTACAGATGTTCTTATTGTTGTTGTTGTCGTTGTTCAATGGCTGATGTGTCGGCGACTTCGCCTTCCTCAGTGCCTTGCCGTTGGACCACTCGCATGTTGTTCACGAGGGATATTTCTGAGTGTTGTGATCTTCAAATTTTCTAGCACAACTTTCTCGTGATTCCAGAAAGCACCATTTCAGTTTGTATTTGTCGTTCCATAAAGACTCTCAAAAATCCATGTGCGTAGACGTCCCTCGTGAACAACACACAAGTGGTCCAACGGCAAGGCTCTGAGGAAGATGAAGTCGCCAAAACGTCAGCCATTGAACAACGATAACAACAACAATAAGAACATCTGTACCAACCTTGAGTCGGCTTAAAAAGGGCAGTTCGTGAAAAGGAATTCACAGATACATCGATCAGTTAAAAATTGTTGGCTAAGTTAATGAGAAGGCGCGTGTGGTGCAGTGGTTGGAGGCAAAACTGCGACGCACACGTGGAATCGATCCCTGCGCACATGGCCCACCAAGCCTTTATCCCTCCGGCGTCGGTAAATTGGTACTAGACTTGTCTGGGAGAATTGCAGGACTGGCTCGATACATCGGTAGATCACCGCGAGGAAAGGCCAGATATGCATTCAGTCACCTCCAACGATACTTAATGAAGTCGAATGCATGGCTCATCCCTCAGTGATTGATCAATGCCGAAAGCTGTATATTTATCCTTTAAGTTAATTAAACAGAGAATAAAAACTAGAGATCGTATTTGTTAAAGCGAAAGTGAAATTATTTTTAAGAACTTTCTTTTCATTTGTTCTTGGCTGAGGATCCTACGTTGTATCGTTCCGTCTACATCCATCATTATCAATGATTTTTAAGATCTAAATACTCCATACTTATCCTCAGTGTAGTAATTAATAACTGAGTGCGTATTAAAGTTGAAAAGGATAAAGTTCGGCGTTGATCAATCTCTGAGGGATGCGCCATCCGACTTCATTATCTCTAAAAGTGATTGAATGCATATCTGGCCTTTACAATGACTCACTCGCGGTGGTCTACCGATGTATCGAGCCAGTGCTGCTATCCTACCAGACAAGTCTGGTACCAATTTTCCGACCCCTGAGGGATGGAAGAGTGTCGCAGTGGCGTCTCCAACCACTGCACCACACGCGTCCTGAGTGCGTAATATTGATTGAAATTATCTTCCAGAAAGTGAGAATTACTTCGGATTCTGGAGATGTTTTTTAAACGACTGGTTACTTGAAGTAATGTTACGTTCTATGATTCTGTCGACGTGAAAGTAGTTTTTAGGTTTCAATCGATACTTGACGAAGAATAACAGCAACGTAAATTTTCAGTGACGTCATGGGTTTTACAGTACCTTCAAATCTATCTGGTGGACTGTATTTCCTTGATGGAAAACGAACTACAGTCGATTCTTCCACGACATTTGATGTGCTCGAACCGAGAATAGGTACAGACTAATTATTTCTTAATATTTTTTCAAAGAATATATTTTTTTACTACCCAATTTTTTCAATTCATACATAAATCATTAGCACCTTTAAGTTGAATTTTTTAGTTGTGCGAATAATCGGTATTTTATTCTGAGTAACTAAGTATTTAAATAGAGATAATAATCCGGTGCGAGTGACGCAGTGGTCGGAGGCGCCCTGCAATACATACGAGATCGATTCTCACATCCGTGGGTCACCAAGCATTCCATCCCTCTAGGGTCGACAAATTGGTACCAGACTTGTGTGGGAGGATAGCACCACTGGCTCGATACATCGGTAGGCCACCGCGAATCATTGTAAAGGCCAGATATGCATTTAATCACCTCCAAATGAAGTCAAGTGCATGGTGCATCCCTCAGGGATTGATCAACGCCGAGAGCTTTATCCTTTTATCCTTTAATCATCTGATTACTTAATGACTTCATGTAAAATAGTACTTCTAATTTTTCTATTGCGTCACCTTCCTGTAGTCATAACGGTTACAATTGTCACGTAATAACTTGTTTTACTAACTAGATATTACTCAGAGGACTCGTTGGGATAGATTTCCGAGTAGACATTGCTTCTTTAATCTCATAGAACCCCAAAATCTATTTTGTGGTCGTTTTTCTGTGATTTTGTTATCTTTCGAAGCAGTTCAGTTTCATTCGATGCTCGTTATCCATCTTTCGTTTTTTATTCATATAATTTGAGCTGTATTTTAAATAGGACACGCATATGAGAAGCTACGAGTTTCATTCAATGCGTGTTGTCCTACGACACCCTTTGTTCTTCTTATCGTATACGATCGGTTGCACTATTCGCTGTAGTTCAGTGGTCTATAGCACTAGTGGAGATAATTTGGGTGGAAGCCATGACCTTTCCTTCCTTCCTAAACCCATTTTTCTACTGAATTGAGATTTACGGCTACAAAATATGTTAGAGTACTACATATTGCATGCCTGTGCTGATGTGTCACATATTGCATTTCTAAGTTGTCGAACTCTATTTCGTCGGTGCCAGTTGTCAACGTGATAGCGGGCCGCCCTCTTCGGCTGGACTATTTGACAGTTATGATATCTCGAAAGACCGACTTTCTATGAACCTCGGCATAAATAGTTGATATATTTATTTATGTGATCTTATAAACTGATCTTCTTAAGCTGACGTGAGGTTGGTACAGATCTTTGTTGTCGTTGTCGTTGTTTTTGATGTTATTGAACGATGGCTGACGTTTCGGCGACTTCGCCTTCCTCAGAGCCGTGATGTTATGTGCGGGACTGAGGAAGGCGAAGTCGCCGAAACCTCAGCCATCGTTCAATAACATCAAAAACAACGACAACGACAACGAAGATCTGTACCAACCTCACGTCAGCTTAAGAAGATCAGTTTATAAGATCACATAAATAAATATATCAGTTATGATATCCTGAATGTTCTCGTCAATCATCTTACTTTAACAGAATCTCTCGCTTGCCTAGAATAGCTTCATCTTGCATTCCTTAAGTAGCCGTAAGTATAATTGTTTGTTATTACATCACTCGACATCAAATGTATCACGCGGACCCAAGCAATTTTTGCATTTGATTCATTTCGTAGCGTCCACCATCCATGAAGATTTTTGAAATTTTTCGCATGTAGATTCAGCTTCTTGAGATCTTCGTCGTTAATTTAATCGATTGCTGGTGGAGTTAAGTCTGCTGCGAATCCTGAGATAACCGTGCTGGAGCGTTTTTGCGTGGACTGGAGGAAGTCAGCTTGTCAGAGAGAGTTTGATACCACTTCACCAACCGTGGATAGATGAAATACTTGACGACTCTGGGCGGGGTCGAACTATCCCTAGGTGTATTCTTTCTTTGATGAGCTTACACGAGGTTGATAATGATATTTATTTTCGGCTAACGTTTCGACGTCTTCGTCTTCCTCGAAGAAAAAGATAGCTCATCAAAGAAAGAATACATATTGATTAGTGATACCGAGGTTCAAGGAAAGTCGGTTTCGAAATATCCCTAGGTGAGTTGGTTCCATCGCACAGTGAATGGGATCACTACCGTGGCGCTGCCCGTGCCCTGAGTGCAATATTGCGGAAGAGTCTGTGGAAAGCGAACCATCCGTAAACAGCTCAAGCATTTGTTTGAAGGATATTATCCTGTAGTGATAGATAAATAAGATCCTCTAATTACTAGTTGCCTTGGTCAAGTTTTACCGTAATGTAACTTAGTGAAAGTACACGTTGTCTCTAGCTTGCAATCTATTTAAGGAGATATCTGACCGTCGGGCAATGCCGGCTTTCAAACCGTTCGTAAAAATTTGACTTTCTTCAAAGATATTCTTTACTGATTTCTTTTTTCAAATGCTAAATTCCATTGTGGGTGTCGTTAATGTCAAGGATTTCTCCACAGTGTTACTGAAGGCAATCATATTTTTCATCGAGTTTCCCAATTTCTTGAAACTTAAATACATGGTCCTGCAGCGGAGCATGGCGCCATTAAGCATTTTGAGAATCATTCCTAAGTTAATAGGTATATATATATATATATATATATATATATATATACCTATTAACTTAGGAATGATTCTCAAAATGCTTAATGGCGCCATGCTCCGCTGCAGGACCATGTATTTAAGTTTCAAGAAATTGGGAAACTNAGTTTCCCAATTTCTTGAAACTTAAATACATGGTCCTGCAGCGGAGCATGGCGCCATTAAGCATTTTGAGAATCATTCCTAAGTTAATAGGTATATATATATATATATATATATATATATATTCTATGCACAGTGAAAAAGTTTAGTCGTACCTTTATTACGTTTTGCAAACTGCGCTTTCAGTTCTGACAATCGAACCCGTTTTCTTTCCTCTCATGGAAACCGAATCGAATTAGAGATACGAATACTGAGTTGAACTGATTAGGTGCTGTCGTTGCCCAGTGTCCAATCGCCGACGAACAGACAGTGGATCGAGCAGTTCAGCTGGCATCAAGTGTTCAGTCCATCTGGGGAGATCTTACACCATTGGAGAGGGGTAAAGTGCTGAAGAGAGCTGCAGAAATTATCAGGGTACGGTCGCATGTGTTAGTTATATTTTCATTGTCTAATTTTAATACTATATATACTAATTACCTTTCGTTCATAGCCTTTTTTGACCCAGTAAGCAGCAACACCTTTGTGCTAAAAATTGGACACATTATGTCAACTCGACAAGTGAATTATTTAACTGTAGGGTGTTGAGAATTTCCTATTGGACGGATTGGCGTGAACGAGCAATTTTCTATGGTTTATGCATAGAACTCCGCCCAGTTTCCCATCAGGCATGGCACGCATTGATTTCAATGCGTCACTAGGTAAAAGCTCTACGAAAGGTAGTCTTCATGTTACCCATCTGATTTAGACGGCGAAAATCGCCACGTGATCTATGTATCCTTACTAATTCCTTCTTATATCTTTCTTCGGACAGTCAACATCCTACTGAGATGGGTACTTTCCCAACAGAAAAGATCATAGGACACTCCTTATCAGCAACATTCTCTATGGCGAGACGAACAAACTCGTCCGAAAAATGAAACATTTTATGAATCATGTAGTGTACAAGATAGTTGTTGAGCAACGTCTAGTAAAACACCTTTGCTGGGGAAGCTATCGGCACAATTTCAAATAGACAAAAAATTGTACGGCAAACGAATGAACTCGGAAGAAAGCGCATTTGTTCCCACTCCCACCGTCTATTAACATCGGTATTGTTCAAACGATTCAGTGCTTTCTTGATGAGCAAACATGTGGTCGTTGCTTTACTCTTCTTTCACAAAAAGCTAACTTTTCGACGGATTTCGCCTTCTCCAGAGGAGGAGGAGGGCAGTGAGGTTAACAGTTCGGTTTTCTTGGAGAATCTACGATGTTCCAGATCTATTAGCTGTGTTTTAGCTGTTGATAGCTGAATTTTTGTAGACTTGTAAGCATACGTTTATTTATTAAGAGATTTTGGCTCTCAATGTTATTTTTGCCAAGCGTTTTTGAATGTTCCGTTTGAAAACTATTGAAACTCAATCCTACAAAGATGCCTGTTCCACATACGTTATTGTCTGTTTATAAGGAGGTATTTATTACAGGCTAACGTCGAAGCAATCGCTCGTTGGGAAGTAAAAACTAATGGAAAACCGATATACGAGGCTAGGGTGGATATTGAGTCATCTGCAGACACTATAGAATTCTTCGCTGGAGTTGCTCCTGCTGCTCTGCAAGGTGTGTTAAATCAGCGAACTAGTAGGTTGAGGTACGATCCAAAATAAATAATAAAACTTGTGTAGGTTGTTTAAATCACTACTGCTTTACTGTTGCCTTCGAAGGGAGTGTTTCACGTGGTTAGCTCTGACTTATCAACAAGCGAATGAAAGTCCTCATATTCTGATAAACAGGATAAACCACTCATTTGCAATCTCCGAAGTAATCTAACAGGTGATCGGAATTTTGACCGTCAGTGAGATTTAGTGCAATCTCTTCGTTGTTCATTCAACTCATGAGGAACCTTCTTTTTGTTTATATTTCTTGGGTTTTCAGTTATGTTAAGGTGTTCTAATACTATCGTTTTAATACATTTCTTTGGATTGTTCGGCCTACTGTTGTTTTACTTATGGCTACTTCTTCGGTATGCTGTTAAACTCTTTTTTGTCGATCTCCTTTAGTTCACGTTATCAACTGGTAGTCGTTAATGATGGTTAGTTGTCTGTGACAGCCTCCTTCAAAGCTCTGATTTGTGAAACTGCTGGAACCACTTTTGTACTGTGCAATCATTAACGGCTGCCTTCCTCGATAAGGAATCGAAGTTGAGAGTGATAGGCGAAATGATCTGGGAACTAAAGCTCTCATGACACAAAATACGAAGTATTCTACGAATTAAATTTTTGAAAAATACAAAATAAAGGCCATGAAACTATTCCAAACAAAGCTTCAAGGTTTTCTCAGGACCCGCTTTCTTTTAACATCGGTAGTGATCAATAAGTTAATGTTTTCTCCTTGTGTCTACACGAGGCTGTTAATATAAAATTCCAAGGCATCAACCTTTAAAACTTAATAATTAACGTTGATTTAGTGTTTTGACAAAGACAGGGTTCAGTTTTTTAGGTGATCAAATCGATTTACCTGGTGGTCCGACTACTCGTTTTGTCTACACACGTCGTGAGCCACTTGGTGTCGTCGCATGCATTGGTGCCTGGAATTATCCTTTCCAAACATGCATGTGGAAGGTGATTTGACCAAAACCGGTAGTAGTTAAATGATCGAATACATCGTTGATGCTCAGATCTCCTTTTTTATTTTATTGTATTTTGCTTATTTTATTCTATTTTTGATTCTGTGAGCAACAAATTGCTTTGTCTTATGCGTTTGGCACTGAGAAATCTTTGAATTTTCATTCGCGCTACGATAGTATGAGGTAAAGTGAGGTTGATGTAAAGAAGAGTATTTGTATATTTATTTATATGATCTTATATTCTGATCTTCTTAAGCTGACGCGAGGTTGGTACAGGTCTTCGTTGTCGTTGTCGTTGTTTTTGACGTTGTTAGTCGATGGCTGACGTTTCGGCGACTTCGCCTTCCTCAGAGCCGTGAGTCCCACACGTAACATCACGGTTCTAAAGAGGGTGAAGTTGCCGAAACGTTAGCCATCGACCAACAACGTCAAAAACAACGACAACGAAGACCTATACTAACCTCGCGTCAGCTTGAGAAGATCAGTTTATAAGATCATATAAATAGATATATCAACTATCTATGCCGAGGTTTATAGAAAGTCGGTCTTTCGAGTTATAAAGAGTTCTTGTGTTAAGGTGATTCCAGCGCTGGCTGCCGGTAATGCTGTTGTCTACAAGCCATCGCCGTTCGCTCCAGCATCACCCGTGCTGATTGGAGAGATTCTAACGGCGGCTGGAGTCCCGAACGGAATCTATAACGTCGTTCAGGTAGGCTACAACGATATGGAAATATGAAGTTGCGCCGCAAACTGATAAGTCCTTGAGGGTCAATACTGTTCGTTCACTTGTTTGTATAGTACTTTCTATTTATGTGTATGTTTGCTTATTAGCTCATTTATAAATAATCTGTTTGCTTTTACTCTCCCCCGCCAGTTACTTAAGCGAAGCAAAAGGTGGGATAAATAGAACATAACAAAAATATTTAGATGAAGAACAAGTAAAAGGTAGAGCATATGTACTCACTTTAAGAACAATCGCGATTCGAAGTCCACTTGAGGTTCTGAGTTTTGCTCAAATCTCAGCATTATTGTGCTTGAAGAAAGGAAGTGGAAATCTTAGAAATTACGTAGTAAATTTGCAAAAATCTACTCGCCTTTTACTAACCCACAGTAATCACTAGCCCTACTTTTCTATACCCAGTATTTTTGACAGCCAGTAAACTATGGAGTCGTTTCGTTTCTCGAGAACCCTAGTGATAATGCTACTGGCCTCCTACAATCCATAAGCAACTGCGATTGAGTGCAATGAGGACTAGGGAAAGCCATAACACATATCGGGATTCCAGGAAAAGCGTGCTTAAACGGCATTCACCATAACAGTGAGGAGAAAGACGCCAAATCCTGAGGACTCATTCGATTCTATTCGCGAGCTCTAACTTTTCAGTAATTTCTTTTCGTTGTGAGACAAGGAAACGCGTGGATGAAGTGGTGTATGCGGAACGTGACAACTAATAATGTATTTAAGCAAGGAAGTATTAATTCGGATAATAGTGTTATCCGGACGATCTAATTATCCAGTAAAAAGTCATGCCCTCCGCATTTCCGGAGTTTTTGGGAAACGCGGACCAGAGGGTCGTTGTAGATGTTGTAGATAATGCATGGATGTCGACTTGCATAGATGCATAGATGTGCTTGAGTGCAGTTCGAATGCAATTTATTTTAGGAGTAAATTAGTGAATATCACACAATTTCCAGTATTTCCACTATGTGAATCAATTTCGCTTTAGAAAATTAAAGTGCAAAATTAGTGGTTTAAAACTGTATAAGTAGTGCCTAAGTCCTGACATCGTTTAGGGAGAAGGCGCAACCGGTAAATTTCTGTGCATGCATCCGCTTATTCGTAAGGTGACATTTACTGGTTCGCTTGCTACCGGTATGGCTGTTCAGAGACAATCGGCAATGGAGAATGTAAAGCCGGTAACGTATAAATGTTAATTTTAATGTTGATAGTAAGAATCGTTGTATCACCTGTGGTGTTAGTAATCGAATAACTCAAATGGCAACCAGCAAAATATCCAATCATGTTTGTTAAGTGCCGTAGCTCCTTTATGTGCTTCAGTCGCTTCAAGTAGACAAAGGTATCACGTTTTTGGTGCTAAATTCTCAATTTTCACTGTTTTTTGGAGGAAATGTAACGAAAGGCAGGTATATCAAACCCTATTGTGCTATACGTTTACATGAAGTGCTGGATGGAATTGTCAGACGTTTTTCTCACCTCGAGTGTACCTTTTTGGCGGAGTGAAACTCCGGCGCAATACATCGCAGTTCGACTCTCGGGAACACTTCGACCGATAAGAATGCCATAAATTATCGGAAAGCAGAGCAATAGTAATAGCAGTATCTTTAATAAATCTATATCAAGTGTATGCCTGCTTGATTCAATATTGTGATAACTGCTAAGCTCAGGTGACATTGGAACTCGGCGGCAACTCGGCGCTGATCATATTCGATGACTCGGATGTGAAAAGTGCGGTCGCTGCAACAATGCTGGCTAACTTCTTGAATCAAGGTGCGGATTTAAATTTTTCTGATTCTCCTAGTAAGTGGAACTCATCCAAAGATCGTTTAAAGGGACAAGTTTATGAGGAAGGCTCTAGGCTCTATACTTTAACACCACGTAAAAGTGCTGTTGGAAGGAATTAGTATGTGTAATTTAACAAAATTAAAGAAGACTGTTTTACATGCTTTTCCTAGTTTTGACAATTTATGGCCGACAGGCATTGAGCACAATGCATCGGCACGAAAATAATAACTGCTTTCAATAATCAACACGTCTCACCTGATATTAACCCTATCTCGACCGCGTTTTATCAGAGCGCGCTAGAGGTCAGCATTGAAACCAAGATGCAAAGTCGTGAAGTGGTTACACCTTAGCAGTAGGAATGAAGAGTGTTATCTATAGATCTTTACCTAAAAGAGTCAGGTTATTATATTCTGCTAAAATGAAATTTTGATTTTTTGTAGTGAGTGGACGTATAAGACGTATTTGTTCTACTTTTTTGTTCGCTCAAGCTCTTATTTCGGCAACTGATTCCAATGAACAAACGCTATTCCCTCCGAATGATGTTCCTTTATGAATTATTGAAGTTAGCAGCAATTGCGCTTATGTCTGAATTTTTAGAAACCCTAATTTCGTCTTCAATTTTATAAAAATCCTAATATTAAGTCTGCTTAAAATTAAGAGAGTGTTGCATAGAAGTTATGCTTACGTGTGAGACGATAGTGCAAAGTAAATCCATGTACTTCTCTGCTCTTCAAATGCTTTGTTGGTCGAGGAATCTGCTGAAGTCTTGACGTAAAAGCAGTTTCGGGCGTTTTCTGTTGAATTTAATAGGTTTTCCTCTCTAGTACATGATGTAAAGACGCTAAACGTTGTTCGTTTTTCCAAAACGGTGCCACATCCGATATCTAAATGATTTTCACCTGCATCACCTGTGGTACCGTTGATCGTCGAGTGGCTCGAGTGGGCGCCAGTAAATCTTCCATTTTCCCTGTCGCTTGCAAAAGTAGCCCAGTGTGTTCTCCTCTCTCTAGGGACTCGTCGGGCATCATGTCCTTCTTCTAGGCTCATCGTGAACTCTGACCATCACGTCGGTGGTCTACCTGCAGTACGTTTGACATTTCGAGGAATCCAGTCACTAACGGCTCTTGTCCATCGGTTGTCATTCATACGCAATGCTTGTGGGGCCCACCTTATCTTCGACTGATTGGCGTGCAGAACGGCATCTTTGACTTTTGGTCGTTGACGCAAGACGGAGCTCCCGATCGCATCCCTTACTTGTGTGAAACGGGATACTCCTAGCATTGTCCTTTCGACTGCGCGTTCGATAACACTGAGTGAGGTTTCATCCTGATTACGCAGCGACCAGGTTTCTGACGCATACGTTAGAAAAGGAAGCAATTTTGAGTCGAAAAGGTGGGCACAGAGTCGAGTGTTCATTGTCCTTTTCACTACATCCTCGATGCTCGTGAAAGCTCTCCAAGCTGCGCGGTTCCTCCTGCTCAACTCTGGAGCTAAGTCGTTTATCACGTCGGTTTTCGACTTAGCTAAACGTAAGTAGAGTATTCGGAGGTATACGTACTTTTGAGTGTGAATGCGGCATACAAAACCAATCAGCTCCTCGTAAACATCGTTTTTATGAGATTTAGTCTGCGACCAACTATTTAATAGGCCTTATCAAAGCCCATTTGGCAAACTTTTGTTGTTATAACAACGACATCATCACCAAATCGGAGATGGTGCAATTGCCTTCATCGTTTTTCACTCTCACTTTGTCCCATTCCAATGTTAGCAAGACGTTCTCAAGAGCAGTGGTGAATAATTTTGGCGAAATGGTATCGCCTTGCCTAACTCCTCTTCTGACGTCTCTGTTAATATCGCTATAGAATGATGATGTCATGGTTATGAAATCTTCACAGATTTCACGAAGAATCTTTATGTACTAACTAGGGACTCCTTAATTATCAAGGGCTTCCATGACTTCTTCTATTTCAATTGAATCAAAGGCCTTCAGCAAATCGATGAAAGTGAGACAGAGCGGTCTTTTGTACTCTCGCGATACTTCAATGAGCCTTGTTATCGTGTGGATGTGGTCCATCGTACTAAATCCTTTTCGAAACCCTGCTTGCTTAGACGGCTGGCCTTCGTCCAGTGTTCTATTAATCTTGCTTAGGATTACTCGAATGAAAATTTGTAGACGATAGACTGCAGCAGATAGGGCGATAGTTTCCCATATCGTGCAGGTCACTCTTCTTGAACAATAACATGGTCTTGCTGGTCTTCCACTGAGTAGGGACCTTGCATTGAGACAGGTAACGTGTTAGTAGCCGAGCCACTGTGTTTGCGAGGACTTTCAGAGGGTTCATCAGGTGTTCTGGTTCTATCCTGTCCGGACATGGTGCTGTTCGATTTTTCACCGACGAAATGGCGTGTCGGATTTCGGAAAGG